AAATTAATTTTTTTCAAAAGATATTTCATCTTAAAATATATTATAAACACGTCTTTTTGTTATTTTTTTCTGCACTAATGGCAAAAGAAAAAAAGTATGTGAAACACTTTTTTAATTTCCAATACGAAAATTTACAACTTTTCTTTTTTCAGTTTTAATTAAAATGAAATGTCAAAGAATAAAAATGTAAAATATAAATTATTTTCGGGGTTTTAAATACATTAAAAGTGTGGAAAAAATAATAAATATTAAGTTTAAGTGATAAGAAAAACTATTAAATTCTAATATCCTCAAAATTTCGCGAAGAAAATTTGAAGTTTTGTGAGTGCGTTTAGTTCTCTCAAGTGTGTCTTATTCTCTCAGAGCTCGTCTCTGTGAAGAGAATAACAAATTTTGTTTGACGACCCCTTCAGTTTCGCCTATATACCTACTATATGGTTGGATATATAAAAGAAAATTACACATCAAGTGATCAATTAGAATCAAACAATTTATATAGACAAGCAATTGGATCATTACTGTATTTATCTAACAGCACAAGGCCTGACATTACAGTTGCAGTTTCAATTCTGAGCAGAAAAGTTTCCTGTCCTACAAAAAGAGACTGGAATGAAGTTAAAAGAATATTTAAGTATTTAAATGGAACGTGTAACTTAAAGCTATGCATTGAGGCACAAAACCTAAATATTATTGGATATGCTGATGCAGATTTTGCTGGTGATATAAAAGAAAGAAAGTCCACAAGTGGATACGTATTCCAATTAGGAGGAACCACAATTTCGTACGCAAGCAGAAAACAAAAGCAAGTTACATTGTCTTCAACAGAGGCTGAATTCGTTTCATTAGCTGAAGCTACACAAGAACTTTTATGGCTGAAAATGTTATTCAAAGATTTTAGCCTAAATATTTCTGAATTTAGAATAAAAGAAGATAATCAAAGCTGTTTGAAGTTGCTAGATCTCGAGAAAACAAATTCGCGTACAAAACATATCGATATAAAATATTATTTTGTTCGTGAAGTCAAGCAAGCAAATGAAATTAAATTTGAATACTGCCCTACTGAGGATATGCTTGCAGATCTCTTAACAAAACTATAATGGTTTAACCATTACATAATATCAAAGTAGTAAAATTCCGAGAAATGATTGGCCTTATATGAATGTTTTACAAATTGAGAAGGGGTGTTGAACAAAATATTACTTATACATACTTTGTTAAATTACACTTTGTAAAACAAATATTTATTTAATCATTTTATATTTGAATTTTGTGTTTTATAGAAAAATAATTTTCTCAATTTTTCTTGAGTTCTTTTTTTCATGTCAATAAATTAAATACTAATTTATTTTACAATTATAAAAAATCACAACCGCTGCATTTATTTAACCCGAAAGGATATATAATAAGATATTAATATCCAAAACACTTTCCTTTTAGTAATTCTATTGAGAATCACATATTAAACATTTCAACACTTAGCAAATTGTAATGCATTTTCTGCCCCCGCTACAGGGCGTCATCAACAATCTTTAGTGATGATGAATGTCATATGTAAATATCATCTATTTAACTCATCATTATTGAGAAATTGATTATGGGAATTGCAAGCAATGTGTGTTAATATTCCCAATACATATTTCATTGTTTTTCTGTCGTAAAATTGTTAAAATCATTAAAATATAGTGAAACCCCCATACCTATATTAATACCCTTAATCCTATATAATAAATACTTACCCGCTATAAAGTTCAATAAACATATGAATTTGTAACGTTTTATGATAAAAGAAAGAACAAGAGTTTTTATTTACTTACCCGCTACTTAAAACTAATCTATCCATATCCCTTTAACCCGAAAGAAACACTATAAATATGAAATTAAGTATATAGAGCCCGGATTAAGTGAAGACACATAAAAGGGGACTTTTTGGTACTTTTTCCTTCTATAATATTGAACCTAGAAACATGAAATTAAGTATGTAGTACCCGGATTAAGTGAGAACACATAAAAGGGGACTTTTTGGTACTTTTGGTACTTCGGCCTTCAAACGGTACTTTTTGAATTTTGTATAATATTGAGCCTAGAAACATAAAATTTAGCATGTAGGGCCAGGAGTAAGTGAGAACATGTAATACTTTTTGAAGGAGTACTTTTTGAATTTTTTTATAATATTGAACGAGGAAACATAAACTTAAACATTAATCTGATGGAAAAGATTTTTCGTATCTTTATACAATTCACCTTCGTGAGAAGGGTACCTATATATAAGTTTGTTTTTCTGTTCATAATTTAAAAATATTAATTTTGTGACCTCATAAGGAACAAATACAATTTGTAACTCCGATTAGTTATCGAAGTCGGTTTAGCGATGTCCGTCTGTCTTTTTTAGTTAAGTTTGTTTTCAAATATCTGTTTGTCTGTCTGTCCGTTTTTATGTTTGTTGAAATCAATTTTCTGAAGACCCCAGATATCTTCGGGATCCAAATCTTCAACAATTCTGTCAGACACGCTTTCGAGAAGTTTCTTATAAAAATCAGTAAAATCTTTTCATAAATAACGGCGATGTAAGCAAAAATCCGAGACAGCCTCTAAAAATTTCATCAAAAATTGTGAATTTTCGTGCATGCTGCGGCAGAGATTATAAACAAACAACAACACACCTAATTATACGGTAAATTTTATTATTGGAATTACTTGTTTATAAAAACAATGCAAAGAAAGAACAACAATTACGAATGAAGAGCAGTCTGTTGTTATTGACTAGAACAGCCAAGCGCAGAAAGAGAGACGCTAAGAAACTGTTATTGTAGTGGTGAGAAAATACTAAAAAACACTTAGAAAAAATATTGCCTAATTACGCTTGTTATGATTAAATTTCATAACAAGTAAAATAGTAAATTTTACAGATAAAACATATTCAAAGAAAAGAAAAATATATATTTCTTCACAAAGATAAAGTTTTATTATTTAAAATGTGTAAAAAAAGTATTAGAAATACTACTTTTATGTGTTTTCATTCTCATTAGTAAAATTTTTTTGGAGTGTTGTTTTTACAAATTGTTTTTGCAATTTTTGAAACAAAGCGAAATCAACCTACATTGTTGAATGCTGTTAAGCAACTGAAGATAATTTTTTGTATTTTTACGCTCTTGCTATGAGTTTTGTTTACGATCGGGTAGTGTACGTCTGAATTGCCGAAAATCTTCGTAATTTGAACAATATGAACGCGCAACGCTGGACTAGAAACATGAAATTAAGTATGTAGAGCCTAGGGTGATCGATTATTCGACATTTTCCAAAAACCGGTTTTCGAATAGTTGACATTTGAAAAAAACCGGTTGACATTTTTCAAATCCAGAAAAAACCGGTTAACCGGTTTTTCATTATAAATAACAAAATCTATTTTAATTTGAAAAAAATAGACGTTTATGTTTAAATTTAATTAATAAAACAGGACTTAACTGTTTTTTAACAGTTTAAAAGATTATAACTTTAGATCTAGTTGTCTGATTTATTTTATTTCTTTAATGTAAAAAATGGAAAAAAGTGGAACACTTCTGTTGAACATAAGGAACTATGTAATTCTAGCTTATTCTAAAATCCCTATTTAGACAATTATCATAGTCATTCCAACACTTCCATAATATTTTAGCCGCAAATTTATTATTGTAATTGAAATATAATCTTAAGATTGATAAAATTTTATCAAACTGTTATTCCAATAAACTTTACAAATAAAAATTGTTAATTAATTAGGAAAATCAAAAAAGTTTAACCAAAGGTGCATTAGAAAAATATACTCTAGTTCCTGGACTCCAATATTTTTAATATATAGACGGGCTGTATTTTTATTTACTTCAAAATTTAACTTAAGTAATCTTTGAATACAAAGCAAATTAAAAGTATTCGAAACCGGTTTTTAAAAAGTAGAAAAACCGGGTTGTTCGATATTCGAAAAATCAACATTTAGAAAAAACCGACACTGGTATAACAGAAAAAACCGGTTTTAAAACCGGTTGAAAATCCGAGTCGATCACCCTAGTAGAGCCCGAATTAAGTGAGAACACATAAAGGGGGAGTTTTTGGTACTTTTTCGTTGTACAAAAGGTACTTTTGAATTTTCTATATTATTGAACCTAGAATCATGAATTTGAGTATGTAGAGCCCGGACTATGTAAGAACATATAAAATCTGACTTTTTGGTACTTTTTCGTGCATTAAAATGTACTTTTTGAATTTTCTATAATATTGAACGTAGAATCATGAAATTAAGTATGTAGAGCCCGGACTATGTAAGAACATATAAAATGTGACTTTTTGAATTTTGTATATTGAACCTACAGACTAAATAATTTCAACATGTAGGGCTCGGAGTAAGTGAGAACATATAGAAGTGGACTTTTTGGTACTTTTTCGTTCTTTAAAATGTGCTTTTTGAATTTTTTATAATATTGAACCAAAAGTATTAAATTAAGCATGTAGGGCCAGAGTAAATGATAAAATATAAAAGGGGATGTTTTGGTACTTTTTCGTTCTTCAAAAGGTACTTTTTGAATTTTCTATAAGGGCCATGAGTAAATGATAAAATATAAAAGGGTTTTTTTGGTACTTTTTCGTTCTTCAAAATGTACTTTTCATAGTATATTTATAGAAACATATAAAATCAAAATTTTTGGATTTTTGTAATAAAATATGTACTGGCTGTTTTTGTTTAATACACTATGGTGAAGGGTATACATATAAGATTCGGCACGGCCGAATATAGAACTTTTACTTGTTTTGTTCTATGACTCGCACACTCTTTAGAGTCAGAAAATTATGTTATAGAAATTTCAAACGGATACGCTTCTCACGAAGGTGAAGGGTATAAAAATTCCAAACACCTGCAGAAAAATATTTGATGTAGGACTCTATCATTATGAACGTAGTTTTAATCTATTTTAATGCATATTTTGAATATTAATATTTAATACGTCAATTTTCTTTTTGAAATTCTTTAGATTGCTATACCTTGCCGTCCAAGGAAAACTTTTACACTTTACGTCTTAGATGTTCCCGAAGATTTGCCGGTAGAAGATATACGACATGCATTGTATAAATTTGATTCTGTTGTGGAGGTAGTTCGACTACACAAATACCAGCATCCAACTCCCATACATTTCCCGGAAAAAAATGTAGATGGTATGAATATGTTGTTAATATTTTTTTTATTTGAGACATTATACATACATATACAATGAGGTTATAGGGTTTAGTTTCATACAAAACTTTTAACTTCAATGTAATTCGAGATTTTACAAAATAAAAAATTTTTTTTGGTCGGAGCAACGTCAATGTTGTAGCTTAAAAAGAAGAAACAAAACTGTCTAAATTAACATTAACATGAAATTTTCATACACAAAATTTTAACGAAAATTGTATGTTTATAATTGTATGTACTAGCTATACCCAGTGTGCTTTGCTACCCTAAAAGCAATATGTATAAATAAACAAGTAAGAGTGCAACATTCGGCTGTGACGAATCTTATATACCCTTCACCACAGTGTATTTAAAAATATCAATTCTATAAAATTTTAATTTATTTAATTTTCCCGTTTATATCATTATTATAGCAATAGCAAAACGAACAACAACAACGCTAAACGAAATAAACACACAAAAAAACAAAATACACAAGGCAGTAAAACCAACAGACATCCAAACATACGAAACGAAATACACAAACAACAAAAACAAAATAGACAACGCAATGAAACCAACAGACATCCAAACATACGAAACCGAATACACCAAAAAACAAAAACAATATACACAAGGCAATGAAACATAGGAAACGAAATACTCCAAAAAAATGCAAAAACAAAATACACAACGCAATGAAACAAACAGACATCCAAACATACGAAACTGAATGCACCAAGAAACAAAAACAATATACACAAGGCAATGAAACACACAGCCATCCAAACACATGAAACGAAATCTATTATCTATCTATTATATAAATAAAAACCAATTGTCGTTCGTTGGTAATTGCATCAGTTGAGAACGACTAGACCGATTTGGACAATTTTTTTACTGAAATGTTCGTCATAGTCCAACTTAGGTTTTTACGGAAAGAAAAATTGACAACGCCCACTTTTACGCACACTTTTTCGATTTATCTAAAATCGGAAAACGGCTGCACCGATTTGGCTAAATTTTTTATTTAAATGGTCGTAGTAATCTAATTTAAGTTTTTACTGAAAGAAAAATTTACCACGCCCACTTTTTTCGATTTATCTAAAATCGGAAAACGGCTGCACCGATTTGGCTAAATTTTTTAAAACATGTTCGTAGTAATCAAATTTAAGTTTTTACTGAAAGAAAAACATGTTCGTAGTAATCAAATTTAAAGTTTTACTGAAAGAATAATTGACCACGCCCACTTTTACGCTCACTTTTTTCGATTTATCTAAAATCACAAATCGAACATAAACATTTTTTCTAATTTGGACAGGACAACGTCTGTCGGGCCAGCTAGTACTAAATGAATAAGCAGTGTTGTTGTTGTTGCGTATATCACAGCATGAAAAAAATTGTCTTTTTTATGAAATTTTCAGAGGTTGTCTCGGATTTTTGCTCATATCTCCGGCAGGCCTGCCAGATTTGCCGATTTATCGGCATTTTGCCGATGTTTTACCTTCCAAATTGGAAAGTGCCGATTTCCCGATTTTTGCTTCAAAAATGCCGATTTTTTACCCAATCGAACAAATTAACGAATTTATTATAACTTTACATAAGCAAAAATTACATGGAGCTTTTAAAACAATTGGGAAAGGAAAATTTACAGTACGGTAGAACACAATTTGCTCCATCACCAATGTCAATTGGATCGATTATGAAAAGGAAACACAATTTATGTATGAAAATCCTGAATAGGTTCTAAAAGTCTGATCTAAGGGTGCTAAAATTTTAAAATTTTTTATGGTTCGAAAATAAATTTACACATTTTTGTGGAAAAGTTAAAAAATCTTGAGAAAATTTCCCATTATAAAAATGTACTCAGCAAAATCTTTACCTATCCGGTTTTTGTTCGACGATAACCAATAACAAATGTGATAACCCCACTTTCTTGGATTTAAAATCGGCTTTGCACTAATTTTCTGTGTTTATTAGTCTATTCTATTTGATCGTGCAATTTGGAATGGTTTTAACAAAAATTTAAAAAACAATATTTTTCAAAAACTTCTAATATTGACTAGGATTAGAACCATTAACTAATTCCACATTAGACACACGCTCCACAGTGGGGCAGAATCGAAATTTTTTGGAAATAAATCTGGCATTTCTAAACGGCTGATCCGATCAGTCTAAAATTTGGAGTGAACGTAGCCAGGGACGGCGCTGTGGCGGCTCAAAGTAGGGTACCTACGACATGTAAAATTTTTAAACTCGTAATATACATAAAATTTCAGATCAATATCATTTACAGATCCAAAAATATACGTTTTTTAATTTAAAAATTCAAAAAATTTTAGATTTTTGTCGTTTTTTTACCAAAAATGTGTCTTAACTCTTTTATTAATAAAATAAAATTTGTATAGTTTTTTTTGTCATACTTAATACTAAAATATGAAAAATATGAAATTAAAGGATACAGGGTTAAATGAACATATTTTTGAATGTAATTGAGATATTGGCTTGAACATTTTTGTAAAGAATCGAGAATTTCCATATCTAACTAAAAAAAGATATTAAGGGACTATGGACTAAATTGTTGTAGCTATCTGCGACCCTATTAAAATTTTGATATAAATCATAGTTTTAGAAATTAAACAAATATGTAATATATGACAAAATCTTTATTTATGAACAAAACTCAATGAAATTTTCAACGCTTGTTAAATTTGTCATTTCAAATAAGAAAATGCAAAAAAAAATTGAAAAGGTCAAAGGGCATCCCGCAATTCCCGAAAATAGGAATGAAAATCCCAAAAATGGGATTTTTTACTTTTTTGACCATAGGGTCCACATTTCTTTCAGGGCTGGGAAAATACTTTTGGAGTAAATAGAAAACATATTGAGGTTTCCAAAACTGCTTTAAGTTTTCTGATCCCAGCTTTGGGATTATAGAAAATGTCGCCCAAAGTTGAAGTTTTGATAAAAAATAGGTCATATTCGGAAGGACGCAGTGGCAACATTTTCAAAAAATAGGGCAAGTTTTTTACGCCAAAGCGTTCTGCGTAAAGATACCTTTTAGAAAACTATAAAATTGTTATATGTTCTTAAAGAAAATTTTATTTTATTAATAAAAGAGTTTTTGGCAAAAAAACGGCAAAAATCTAAAATTTTTTGAATTTTTAAATTAAAAAACGTATATTTTTGGATCTGTAAATGATATTGATTTGAAATTTTTTGTATATTATTGGAAATTTTGTTGTCTAACTAACAAGAAAATTGAGTCCATTTGGTCCAAAATTACGCCCGGTATTCAAAAAAAGGCGGACCAAGGTATGGTAAATTTTGTATCACTAAATTTTTAAATGCCTATAACTCGGATATTATAAGAGATAAGTAGTATGCGCTTTCAGAAAATATAAAAATCTTTGTATTTGGGTGAAAAACAAAAAAAATGGCACGAGTTTAAAAATTTTACATGTCGTAGGTACCCTACTTTGAGCCGCCACAGCGCCGTCCCTGGGGCATCTGCAGGGTTCATCTTCAAAACTTAAACTCAAATACTCCTTGGCTACGCCAAATTTTATCCCGATCGGATCAGCCGTTTAGAAATGCCAGATTTATTTCCAAAAAATTTCGATTCTGCCCCACTGTGCGCTCTAGACAATTGGTTACAAGTCCTATTGTAAAAATTAATATTGTTGATCACTCACTGTCAAGTAATGAATGAAATAACTACATCACTCGTAACCAAAATTTGAAAATTTTTTACAGGGTAAATGTATAGTAATCCACAAATAATTATGCATTTACATTATTTTGCAAAAGTGACACAAATTCTAATAGATTTTATTCCAGTAAACCAAAGTTTCGGTGTACCCTTACAAAGAGTTCTTTTATTAGACCTATTCTGAATAAAAATTCCCTGAGTTATGCATGTATGTAAAAACAATATTGTGATTTTTGAATTTATTTGTCAAAGAATAAACAAGAAGTGAAACGCTGTCATTTTTTTACAACAATAACATTACGCTCTTCTCACAGACGAGTGCTGTGTAAATCCAACACATATGTAAAAATTTTATTCTCTCTCCAAACTTCAAAACTTTTTCGCGAAAATTTGATGATAATAGCACTTTGAAATATTTTTTATCACTTAACATTATATTGTATAATTTTTTTGCACAATTTAAACACATTTAATAGCCCGAAAATAATATATTTTTTACAAACGAAAAAAAAAATATTTTTTATTTTATGACATTGAATTTTTGTTGGTTGAAATTAAAACTAAAAAAAACAATGTTGTAAATTTTCGTATGGTAAACGAAAAAGATATTTCAAATAAATAATTTATTTTTTCAATATTATAGATTAAAAAACAAATAGACGTTGTTTATAAAATGTTTGTAGATAAAATATGTGGAAAATATCTTAAGAAACCTTTCCAAGTATAAATTGAAATGTAATATTTTTTTTTTTTTTTCAATATTTTTCAATACGATTTTTTGCAACTATGTTGACTTGAGAATTCTACTAATACATTCTTAGAGTTAGGTACCCGATGACAGTAGACTTAGGTACTTTTGACAACAGTTTCATTTCTTATTTATTCTTTGTTATTTGTGTTATGTTTCTTTGGTACAAAATAGTGTTTCTTTCAATTGTCGATTTATTGCCGATTTTTAAAACGTAAGTGCCGATAAATGCCGATTTTTTGGGAAAAAAATTGCCGATATTTCTACAAATTTATCTGGCAGCCCTGATCTCCGATATTTATGGACCGATTTTGCTGATTTTAAATAGCGATCTTCTCGAAAGCATGTCTAACAGAATTATTGAAGATTTGGATCTCGCCGATATCTGGGGTCCTCTAAAAACTGATTTCAACAAACACACAGACGGACAGACAGACAGACGGACATAGCTTAATCAACTCCGCTACCTATAAGGATCCAGAATATATATACTTTATGGGGTCGGAAAATTATATTATAGAAATTACAAACGGAATGACAAA